ATATACATAATATTTCACCTGTACGAGCTGGCAGGGACGTCACAACTCTGCCCCAGGTCACACGTTGCTACGGGTCCCGACACAAAGCCATTATCTAGTTCATATTTCCACAGGATGGTTGTGCTTTCAGGAGCGGTCACTTCACACGTGACATCAGTTGGTGTCTTTTCCTCCACCGGGCCACACAGTGACACAACTGTGACAGAGAAAAGAGAGCGCTCACATGACCGTATGCAGTTGTGAGAGCCGTAAAACATTTACCGAAAAAAAGGCAGAAAGGAGGTCTTGCTTGATACCAGTAATGGTTACACTGGATAGCCAAATTGAAAGTGAAATGTCCAAAGATGGATAGACACAACCAAAGATACGTTTTAAAAGTTTTAAAAACTGGCCCCAATCATGTCAAACCGACGCATTACAATGACTACAAACCTCAGAATATTAAAATCGTTCATTTGGTCAGGGTTTTTTATATCAGTGTGGGTGTTGGCCAATTGACAACAATACAAAAAGAAAATTAGGAGCAAAAGAAAAATCGTTCACAACGAGGATGATCAAAAGATCATGGACACAAAAGAAGACAAATCAATGAGAATTACTGGAAATGGCAAACAGGGAAACATCATACTTCGAGACAATAAGGAGGAGCAGATGGAATTCATGCGCCATGCATACAGAAAAAAAGGTTTGGAACTGCTATGTACGACAGGAATAAAATGGAGACTGTTGAGAACTAGAAATCTGATCCTCAGATGCTCCCCTTCAAACTGAGGTGTGATAATTGCACAAGATGCGTAATTGTAGCATGAACACAGGTATCTGACTCCGCAAAGAGCAGTAACTCATTCATGGGAGCCTGGAATAAAAGAGAGGGACGAAGAATCATAACCGCCAGAGTCTGCACCAGACAAGACATTTGAATGAGTGTTTGGCGAGTGGTCTGGTGTGGTTTGCTCCTTCTTTCCTATCAAACATCTATCGCCCTTATGTCCTTTTTTTTTTTGGTATTTGTTATCCTCTTGTAGCACCTCTTATCTTTAGTACTTATATGACCTATCTGTATTGCAAATACGATAAAAGTCTTATTAAAAACTAAATCATAGAAACCGAGACGAGGTGAAAGAGCCAAGCAAAGAAAGAATCTTCCCCAGCTCCAGGGCGTTTAATCCCCCCACCCTCACCTTTTGCCCCCCTCCCCCCAAATCCAATCCCATCCCTTAAAAAAAAACTAACTAAAACATTAGATTAAAAAATATAAAAATAAAGAAACGCCTAAAACTTAACACAGTAAAAAGCACAGGTTAGACTGAAAATATAAATACAGTCAAATCTTCTCTAACGAATACGTGTCAAAGACATCCTCCTGTACAAACGACCACTCTTCATCCATCCACAAAGGTTGGCCAACTTGCACACAATTTTTTTCTCAACAGGAAGCCAGTACAATGTCCGTAAAAGATGTGTTGCAGCGTGTCGCTTTCTTTACCGTAAAACTAAACGTGCAGCATTGTTGTGGACAGTTTGAAGTCTTTTAACTTTCACCAGTGATATTCCTGATAACAAGGAATTACAATAATCGAGTCTTGATAAAACTAAGCTAACTACCAGTGAAGCAGTATACTTAGTATTGATTAGATGACGTATTTTACTAATTTTTCTTATTTCTTAAAACATGCAGCTGATCAGATGATTTACCTCAGCCAACATTGACAAACTAGAAATAAAAGCCAAGATTCTTAACTTTTCTTGAAAATGCAATTTCTGCATCAACCTCATTAACAGACTTTGCACTGCCTGCCAGAGAGACTTCTGTTTTTTTATCATTCAACATCAATTTGTTTCTGTTCATCCAGTTTTTCACTGAGGCAATACAATTTTCAGCACGATGGACAGGTTCATCTAAGTTGGTTAATATTGTTGAACCATAAATTTGAGTAGCATCAGCATAGAAATGATACTTTAAGT